ATATATATATATATATATATATGATCAAAACTGTGTGACGCACTCTGGGGAGAAGTGCAATCTGTGCACTGTTTCTTAAGCTTTGGGATGTCTCATCATCACATAGTTGAATTATGAATACAGGTAGCAAGGAGCGTTTGTGGCAAGAATTGATAAGAAAATATTCGCTTCTGTGTAATATAAATGTTTTTCAAAGGCAAATCAGCTGGAGATTTTGGCTGTTATCCCATGTTCTGCCCTTCATGACGAAAGAGACATACTTTTGTTTTGATTTGATTTATTTTGTGAAAGAACAGTAAAAACTGTATGTGACGTATGGGGAAGAAGTACAACCTGCACACATTTTCTTGCGCTCCAGAATCTCTTTCCCACCTTTTATCCGTAAATTATTGAATGATGAATAAATGTACTAATAAACAGCGCGAGGTTAGTAACATTTAAAAAACAGCCTTTTCATCCCAAGAGATAGAACATTCTTTACATCAGTAAAAGAACTACAGATTTCATTTTTTAATATTGTAAACACGTCTTCTCCGACTCTACTGCTACTACAACTAGCAAAAAGGGAGCTCACCAAATCCTGCGCAGAGTGAAGCAAAACATGAGGTCATCTCAGCATTTTCTCAAAGGACCAGAGAAATTGGACGAATAATCTGATCGAAATAGGTGGCATTGACCCAAAAGCATTATTTAGTACAGGCATATACAGTATTTTTAAAGGTATATAATACAAATGCAAACCAATGTTTTATATATAATTGTTGAAATCAATATTTTTTTTTCTTTTTGATGGTCAGTATAATCTCTAATTGTATAGAAAAAGATATGCAGAAGAAATTTTTTTCTTTTTTTCTTAAGCTTGTGCATACATTTTGATTGTTTAACAAATTTGGCAATGTGTTGTTAAGTACGAGTTGTATTATATGTGGATTTCTTGTACCAATAGTGAGCTGTTGAAACTGACACCAGGTGAATGTGATTTCTACGACCGCCAAAACTGAAAGTGAATGATATTTTGCAGCGAGTGAAGGAGGATATTGAAGTGAGGGAACTGAAGTGAGGATATTTTGCAGCGAGACTTAGACAAATTACATATCTGGGCAGAAACAAACGGCATGGGAATAAACAATTCAAAGAGCAAGTCCATCACGTTTGGTAGGGGTCGAAGTTACAATGAATCTGCGTACAAACTAAACAATAATGTTATACTTCGAGTCACATCTTGCAAATACTTAGGAATACAGCTAGACAGTAAATAAAGCTGGGAAAATCAAGTCAATTTCCTTGTAGGGAAAGCCTGGAAATCTGTACATTTTGTTATGAGGATACTGAAAAAGAGTACAGTGAGAGCCAAAGAACTAGCATACATGTCATTAGTGCGACATATATTAGAATATGGCGCGGTATGTTGGAACCCATACAGAATTTTGCAACAAAGAAATCTAGAAAAGGTCCAGCGTAGAGCATCAAAATTTACGTTCAGGGTACCAAGAATTAAGGGGTAAGGGAGTCACTCAAAAGGCGGAGATTAAAGTCACGTCTCTATTCAATGTATAAAGCGTACACAGGCCTTCGAGTGTGGAAAGAAATTCAAAGTCGATTAGGGAAACCCATATATTTCGGCAGAGCGGATCACATGCACAAAATTCAGACAAGAATTCAGAAAACAGTCGTTGGGAAATATTCATTCGCGAATCGCACTATTAGGGACTGGAACGGTTTGCCTGTGACAATCTTCGATCCCTTTCCTCAAAGCCTGAGCAAATTAAAAAAAAAAATAGTTCCTTGAATGTAGATATGTGTTATAAAAATATTTAATAAAATACAGTGTAATTAACTATGTATTCTTTGTAATTAAGTATTATTATTGTTATTGTTATTATTTTCATTATTAATGTTATCATTATTATTATTATTATTATTATTATTATTATTATTATTATTATTATGTGCAGTGACGTGAAACTGAGAGAAACGAGTGAGTAAGAAAGACATTACAGCTCGCTGTATGGCAGTGCGGTGAAGTGAAGTGTGGTGAAGTGGAGTTCTATGAAAGATTGCACGGTGAAATATTCACGTGATTTTATAAATTTTGTAGATTTTGTAAAGTTGTTAAGTATCTGTAATGTTAAGTTATTGTATTCTGCCACCAAGTTCTCACACTTAATTGCAGAATTATTAATAAATCTATCTATCTAAAATATTGCTACTGTTGCGAGAACATGGAGAAAGAGTTGAAGCAAACGTGCACAGATTGCACATCGCCACAGTCCATTCAAAGTTTTTCTATTTTTTTAAGGTGGATAAATTAGTACATAAATCGGCACTATCGAGAGCCAGGCGTTGAAATGACGGCCTCTCCTAAAAATGCAGGTGGTTCTACACACTCTACTTAACAATTCAATTCATTCACTGTAAGAACAACCTTCTGCATCTCATGAAGCATCGGCTACACGCTGGATTTTTTTACATTCAATATGACGCATCCTCTCTACTGACATTATTTTAACAGAAGAGAGCGTTAATGATAAAAAAGGTTTCTCTAGCAAATTTCAAACGAAATGCCCTCATAATAGTCTTATGAACTGTACTTTTTGAGAAAGAATCCTACAATGTATTATTTCTAGTTTCGAAGAGGAAACGACCTCCCTGCTTCTCTAATTTGAAAGTGTACATAAGAATCGTAAAACATTTAATATTTGTAAAGGTTTTATTGTCGATCTCAGCAAGTTAGGCGCAAAATGTAACACGAATGTCACAAACATTTCACCTACTAAAAGCTTGATGAGATCGACAATATACTACATTTATAAATTCCAAATAAATACTAAATAAATATAAATTCAAAATTTCAAAACGCAAAAATATTGAAAATTCGAAAAGATACATGCAGTACAAAGATCTAAAAAAAAGGTTAAAAAGGAGTGTTCCTCTCTCGGAGAACAATCCTTCTTATCGGTTATTTCTGGCTACAAATGCTTATGAGGACATTAGAAACGTTTCTAAATGAAATCGTTCTTTCACTAGCGTGCAGGAGAAGTGTTATTTAAGTAGAGATACGAAATATGAAGTTAGGGTTATACTTCCTCGCAAATGTCAATTCTTATTGGAACAAAAATAAATTGCATCATTCATGACCGCAACTTAAATCTTTCTAAAATGTGTACATTAAATGTAATAGATGTTATACACTACTGGACATGATGAAATTTTGAAGTAGGCCTTTCGTTTTGCATTCTTGTGTTGCATTTTTGTTTCTGTTAAATATTTGCACATACTTTTTAAGTCTGTACTAAACCGAAATATTTATTGATTAATATTAAATGGCATACTATGTTTGTGAAGTTAAATGGATTTAAATGATTTCAGTTCCTTACATTCATTATTGAATGTTACCATTCCATTCAAAATTAAAGCCTGGGACCGTCATAAAAGAGATAATAATCGACAAGTTCATCTAGTTTTCTTAATACAAGAGTCATAAAAATATCGAAAAAGGAAACCATAAAAATATTCAAGGGAGTACAGGGAAAAAGACACTGTAAATAGCAATATTATGTGCCGCTATTAAATGTAGGTTTTATATCATCATAAATGTCAGATGCAGATGGTACTATTGACATAAATAAAATTAAATATCGCTACCGAGCAAAGAAGACATACCTCATTCTGAACATTGGGAGATGGTAAGTTCATGTAGTGTGTTCCAGTGTCATCTCGGCTTCCATCACGGCTGCGCACAAGACCTGAAACAAGAAATGTCACTCGTCAGAGTTTGATGTATGTCTTTCTTCGCAATCTTGAATGAATTCCAAATTTGAACGTTTCATTTCGATAAGGAAGATAATATGCCTCTAACTTTCTTGACATGTTTTTTTTCTTTGAAATTTATTAGCAAAGAATTTCTTTAAGAATCATGTGCGTTAATCTCATAAATTATAGTGACATGAAGAGTTTGAGTAAAATGTCAAATCTGAGTTTAAAGAAAATATTAATTACACCATTGTTTTATTGTTTTGAAAAAGAGAGTTGAAGTTTATTGTAGTCCGCTGTACATAAATTCAAACGAATCGTTTTGTGGCGGGACAAAACACATAAATATTGTTTTGAATTCATGTTTAAAAATGCATGAATTTTAACAGTGGTTAATAATTAATCATGTCTTTGTTGAACTTCAGCGATATCTCGTCTTCGTTACATTCAGTTTTATAGAGGAATCGATAAAACCAGGCCTGAGATTCATTGGTCTGCTGTGATGAGACAAATGGAACGTATGTTCATATTTCTTCCTTCCAACACCGCAGAGCAATTGCAAGTCTGACGATTGATAAATCACTAGTACGGTTTCTCAGCCCAGCTGTAGATCTAATACTGCACATCGGATTCGGATTCATCTCAACTACATTAGGGAGCATGATTAATAAGGAGAGACACAGGGGAATACGCCAAACTTCGTTATTGCACATGCTTAATAGCAAAGATCACCACAACGTCCAAGCAGTTAATTACATGATACAATAAAGCACCCAAACGTGCGCTATATGTCTACAACAAAAATACAATGGTCGCTCAAAAATTGACAAACAAATATAATAAGCAGATCAGTAAGAATCTAAATTTGTTTGAACAAGGGTTAAGAGGTCATTTCACTCAGGCACGTTTTAAGCGCCGTACGCTACAGGTATGCACGAGAACACACGTCACTGAGCATGTTTTCGACGCAACGCAACGCAACTACTGGGTTGAGCTGTATCAAGTCTAAGGCAAAGCGCTCAGCTTTAAGGGACATGACAGGATAAGAATAGTCCAAGGGAAAGGTAGAAGAAGGCAAATACTGGAGAGGCATGATCCTTGCCATGAGGACTTACGCAGTGGCCCCGTCTTGGAAGGGCTCGTGACCTATGAAGAATCTCTGTGATGGTTTAATTTTCTCTCACCACACTGAGGTTTTAAATCGAAATCTATGGCTCTCACTTTCTTTGCTTCTTGAGTTAAATGTTGCTTGGCTACCTGCACACGTTTCTTTGAGCTCTGTGGAGTTTCAGTGAAGAAGTTAGTCAATTAATCAGGTGTAACATGATATCAACAGTAAGTCGACTCTTTTTCGTGTAGCACGACTCGGAAGTCAATATCTGTGGATCATTGGCTGATGAAAATAGTTTGTATTACACGAGAGCGAATATTTCTTGCTATAAAATTTTGCCAAAAACTTTTGTTGCTCCCTTTAATCACAATTCAGCTTAAAATTGTAAAAGGGCACCGGTATGGATTTACTTGCTCAAGAAAACGTGCCTATATGTCACATACAATATTTAATTTTTTTGACGTTAAATAAAATTAATTATATAAAAGGGGATGATACCCAGCGTCACACTGATTAAGAGAAAGACGGAAAGGAGAGACAGGGCAGAAGGGAACAATTTTTTGTACTGTTCCAGAACATCAGTTCGTGTACAGTTGAAATAAAGAGGGAAGGGGCACCACTAGCTAGTTCTGCTTAAAGTGTGTATCGATATCAAAAACTAGTATTCTTCATATTCTCAACCAACAATCGTACTCAGGATATTTAAAAACGACTGAAAAGTCTTTATATAATCTATATCACAACAATTTATTGCTACTAAACTTTATATTTTCATTTTGAATGATTGAGCAAGATAAAATAAAATGAATATATAGAGATATCTTGCTTTACAACATTTTACAAGTTGTGGAAGATCATTACAAATTTGAGTATCTGCATAGAAGAATATTTACAATATTCATGAAATATTGGTGGAGAATACAAAGAGCAGATGGGCAAAAAATGAATACATCCTTCTTTAATGTAGTAATTTGATAAAAGTAAAAAGTCTTTTTTATTATTCGCGTTACATTTACGTATATCAAAGATGAGGAAATAAGATCTTTTGAGAAAATTTGTAAGGTGTTGGTAGTTCACCGGAATATACACATCAATTTTTGAAACATTTAAAGAATAAAAAAATGTTATTCTGTAAATTATTGAAGGTTGTAAATAATCATCTGAAAACCAGTTAAATGGGTAACTTTACTTAAATGGCGAAACGTAAGAAGTGAAAAGTGTTTCAGTCTACGCTATTTATGATGTCTATAAACAAAATTGGTCAAGAAAGCAGTACTGAAAACGGTAATGAAAATATATCTTAAAACTTATGGTTTTACAGTGACCTTTCTGCAATAAAATATTTCTTACTAATCGATATGGATATATCGATATATTTTTAATTTAATGTATTATTTTTTTATTTCCGTGTGAGAGTACAATATATAGTATCTTTAAAAAATATAATTAACATGTCTTCCTAATCACTTGTACATGTTACAAGTTATTGAGTGCTTCAATGCGTGATAATGAAACTAAAAAAAGGTAGTTTCGTAGTGAAATATTTCTATTTAAAACTCTTAGCTCTGAATTGTAAATGTTAATCACGATAAAAATTATATCGAAATAGCTGAAGTATTTGAACAGAAATAGCTAAAAAAAGGTGGAATAGGTAAGGAATGTAATGGTAATTTATTTTTTGACAGTTATGTCGTGTATTAGAGCGGGGATGTTTCAATTCAAATACATGTATTATGGGAAAATTAATTGAATAAGGGAAGACCAAGACTGGTTGTGATGAAGTTTGGTACTTCTTTAGCTTGTTAAAATGCTTCTAAATATTTTTCATTTTTTAAAAATTTTGTGTATTGAAGTCTGAAGTATACTTGATGTACTATGTTAACTGACAACACGTGTGTTGTAGTAACATTTCACAAAACCTGTCACAACTTGTATTAGTCTATCCTACACTAGGAAATCGGCCAAGTATATAATAGTATGTCTTGGACTTTTTTTCAACAGAAAACATCCATTAAAACATTGTGACCCCTACAGCAAATGAAGCGTTAGCTCCTGAGAACTGACATTACAGCATTGCTGTTCCTTCCCCCATCTCCCCTGCCTTTTATTAATTAGCCTGCCCTCGAAGTCATGCACACAAGATCGGAGGGGGCGGGCACACTCTCAACACAAGTGCAAGGGGGCGGTCACCGCCGGTCGCCAGCCGAGGGACTACTGCATACGCCGGGTGGGGCAGCGCCATCTACGGGGCCACTACGCGGGGTCAAGCTCACCTCCGCTGACGATTTTGAGGCGGTTTTCGTCGTGAATGGACGTGGACGTCTGCTGGCAGCAGAAGTGGCATGGCGGATCCCCGTCCGGGTAGCGCAGGTCAGCCAGGTGCTCCACGCCCATCTCCGGTTCCAGCTCTGGAGCAGATGGAGTCGGCCCGAATACTCTCTAGCTCTCGCCCTTCTCAGACGGCTAATACGAGCTGGCCTTCTACGGTTCACAAGAGGCTCTTGCCCTTGCAATACTAAGGCGAATGGAGGGCAACCAGCTGCCGGATAGGTAGTTGATTGTATTTTGATTTTCAATGAAATCGTAACCTTTGCAAAGCATTGGTCGTTAATGCCACGTATTTTGCACACAGAAAATACGCGTTCTGAATTAAACATGACGAAGAGGAAAGCATAAACTGTGTTGTTCTGAAGGCTGTAGTGGTGTACGTAAAAAGGTGTGCAGTCCAGGTAAAACCATTTAAGACTACACCAAGCAGATAAAACACTCCAAATTCCCTGCAGCCATATCATACAAGAAAAAAACATTGCTTCACATTACGAAGGGTACAATTTCATTGAAAAATGTCATTTTCACACCAGCAATCCAGGAAGACAAGTATTTCGACAGTAAAGACAAAATAAATCTTTATCGACTGCACCTGTTTGACAGATTATTCAACGATGGTCCTGATTAAATTTGCTGTCAGACGACGAGACATTGACAAAAAGTTAAAAAATATGAAGATTTTATACTACATTTAGATACGTTTCTTCCCAAGCCAACTCACGCTCTTAGAAATAAGTCGCTGAGATAAGACCACTCATACTTGCATTCCAACTTCGTACCTCAAATCACTGGCGACAAATCTACATGCATTTGGACTAGGGAAACTTCTGACTCAAATTGACATTTAGCGACACCTTATGAGATCAATGCGCTACAGGAATAACCAAATGAAAGACAAATCACTTCTATGAAAGACAAATCATTCTATTAGTTCTCAACTATCGTATGTCTCGTCTATTTGAATTAAAAATACATGTAAATGCGCAATAACTAATTGAAGAAGATTAGCAAAGCTAGGATATTAACGAGACTTTCTCCAGTTTAAATACTGAAGTTATTTACTATTTTATTTCTATATTAACAAGCCTCACAGAAATAGTTTTTAAACTCTTCACATATCACCAATACTTAAACGAGCATTGATTCAGAATTTGCCGTAAGATATATGAGGCTCCCAGACTCTCAAAACTTCAAACTAAGAGTAATATCACTGATAACTTTACTGTCACATCACGATTTTGAATCACAAACGTTCGTCAAAGTAAATGAGAGGCGAACTAAGACATTTACAGATTGTTTTGGTGTAATTATATTTTTGAGAGTACTATTTTCCTGAGCGTCGGATTCTGAGGAGAATATTTTTAAACTGTACGATTAACAGGGTAAAAATATTCTATCAAACAAACTCTCCCAAGGAATAAACACATTCACAAGGGGATCGACTGTAGTGTACCTTCCTCTAGGTTGTAGGTTATACGGTTCACATCTTAATGAAACAGCCGCAGCCACAAACCTCTCCCAAGAAAAAAAAGTTCGTTACTTTTGGACCGTACCGTGCAGCCGTCACGGACAGATGTGTTACGGAGAACGTGTCAACCCTGCAGTACCGCCCAACGCCCACGAAAAGAGCTTTGCGCATTGGTCACAGCCTCGAGACGGCTCAGGGATCGCACCAGCCGCCACCCACCCGCGCACGCTCACCCACCCACATACAGGCACGGGCCTACACACGTGTCTCCACCCATGGCGAGAACTACTCCCTCCGCTCCATACTCTGCCCTCTTCCCTCCACTCTCCTCCCCGCCTGCCCACCGCCGACCGCCCTTGATTGAGAAACCGATCTCTGGCCGCGACTAATGCCCACACTATCAAAAGCTCTTTTTTTCAGTCCGCACGCTGATTGAAGGATTTTCTGACATGGACTTGAAAGAGGCCAGCCAGCGCGGCGCGGTCGACGTGGCGGCGGTGCGCGCTTCGAGCTACTGCTTGGCACGAGGCGTGGACTGCGCCCGCAGCAGCTTCATCGTCAGCCTCCCCCCTGCCCCGCCCCCTCGCCTACCCGCCCTCTGACCCCGCAGCCTCCCGCGCTCCGGGCGTCGCGCCGGAGCGGCGGCGAATACAGCCGTCCCCGAACCAACTCCCTATTGAAGAGGCTGTGCCTCTGCATGTGAAGCGTAGTCCAACGGGGAACACGTTACCGGAGGTAAGTATGGCGACACGTAACAGTGCACCCAGTGCCCTAGCATTTCATCTCTGGGTACTGATTGATTTATTTCTTTTGTTTCCGGGCGAGTCACTACTGTGGTTAATAGTAGTGTTAATATCGTGCAGTTTATATCGCGGGAGGTGGTGGTGAACCACCCCTTGCTAAAATGTTTGGCGCCGACCTGCACGTCAGCTTTTGGAGGTTATTCTCCTGCAAGTGTCGTCTTGCGGGGTTTTCCCCGTCCAGGTATCACTCACCAGCATCTGGAGCACTGCACCAGCCGGGACAAGCTCTAAGATTCCGGCTGGTCTCCCGATAAGTATAGTAGTTTAGTATATGCATGTGTGTATATTTGTGTGTTAAGGACATCAAACGACAGGGGTGAAGAAGAAAAGATCACGTTTTTACATCAATATAATTATCATCTATTTTTAGAATCTCTCAAACATTCCAGATGTGGCTACATGTTCAGGTATTTGAATCGTAGTATCCATAATCAGCGTTTCCCAAGAGCAGCGTGACGGAAAAATGCACAATAATTTAAAGTGTGAAAGAAGGACGTTCGAGACCTTGGGAAGGGACCCAGCGACATGGAAGGACACAGTCTATATATTTGTCTGGTGGTTATATGTAGACTCAAACATATTATAACATGCCTACGTGGGTTATAGTTAAGATTTTGTGTGAATTGTGAAATAAAGTTCAGTGAAAAATTGACACTATTCAAAACGATCAATAGCGGCGCCCAAGAGTCTACCTGAATACTATGATTTGTGGTACCCGTGAAAATGTCATGGAGTTCTAAAATTTTTAGTTTCATATTACGTACATCCCTCTATAGACAAGGAATCTTCTGCAACAACACTCGATATTCAGGCAGTGAAAACACCACCATAGTCATAATTGCATCTTCACTAGCCAGCTAGTTATTTATTCAAAGATATCTGATGGGTTTCCTTTCAAAACATCCTGTCTAACCGGCGGAAACCAGGGTTGAAGATAAAAATAACAAAAATAAATGTTATATCCGGTTTAATTAATTTTTTTATCACACTGAAAATAATGAATATCATTCAGAATAATCATTACTAAATTCAAGAGTGAGCATGATTAAAATACATTTCCTTCAGGAGAACACCAGACGAAAATACTTCAGAGACCGTTTGAGATTAAAGAGTTATTTATGCGTACACCATCATGAACTCGGGGGAACATGCGACCTCAGGAGATTACTCGAGCGCTCATCGCCCGTATAATATGTATAACACTGAAGTTGTTCAGTGAAAAGTTCTAAAATTGAAATTACTGGGCATGGTTTTTAGCAAACATAATGAAATTATTTGGCTATTCTAGTTACGCTTATTTGTAAACAAAATTCACTGATGAATTATGGATACTCGTAATTCTGAACGAAATGTATTTTCGCTATCACTAATCCTCAACAAAATTCGGCGATTTTAATAATGCCCATTCCGAAGTGAACGAAATTCAGTGAAGTAATTGAGTTTCAGTACAATAAGTTATTTGGTTATTCGTGAATAAAATTCATTGCAATATTTTTGTAATATGTCATCACGAAAGAAATGAAGTTTGGATGTATTCAACTACTTTCACACGTAATTGACTTCTCCTCTTATTACTGTTAAAAGAATGTGTGGTTCTCCTATAATAGTTTTTCATAGCGCGGGTTTATTATTTGGTAATAATTCAAGTAGTTAGATCTTCGAAAACCTTGCATGCCATCTGCAGCCTAATTGTCATTCTGCAAGGAAATAATGTGTTTTAACACACTATAATAATTATACAAAATAAACTAATTTTATTGTTGAAATGAGACTTTAAGGATTATCAATGTGCAATATTAACATTGTTAATTATTTCGCAAACATGACATTGAATTTGATATTCGCGAGAGAGAGAGCTAGATAAAGGAAACGTCTGATTTTACCAGCGCTTTAATTAGTTCCATTAAAAATAGCTCTTTATTTAACTAAGATTTTCTGCATCTGAAACAACAAAGAAGACCTTTAATATTCTAAATTAAATATTTATATTTGAACGCCATTTCACATTAGGTGAATGAACAATCTAGTACATAATTTGCAAGCGATAAAATAAAAGTGCACGGGTTTAAAAATATATTTGACGTGTTTTAACGTTACATCAATAAAAATATTTCCATATTCCGGATTAAAAACAACATCAGTGTGAAAGAAATGATTTGTATTAGATAAGTTCAGCAACGCAATTCATCGAAGGAATGCTGACAGCAGGTAATGCGTAGATGTTTAGATTTAAAAAGGTTGTGAAATATTTGGATTCCAGTTATTTTGAAAGCTTAGAACTGCCAATTCATATATCATCGTTAAATATTCTGCTGTTGCGCAAGTTTCATTAGCCTACATATTTGAAATTTTCTTAGGCTCACTATATTTTCCCTCATCTTGACGATGATTTATTTTACAATAGTGAAGTTATTTTACAATTTTGAAGTCGTCTTATCACATTTCCCCCTCCCTCCCCCATAGTCGTTAATAGGTGAAAGCAATATGCTTTATTTCTCGAGGTATTCCCCATCCAATTTCGTCTTATTTTCTCATTCACACCTCATTTTTAATCTTTACATTTCAATAATTAAAAGAAACTTTCAGTCCATAAAAGAAACTAGAAGCCTGTTTTAGTGTTATCATAGATCGTCTTCTAGAAGTGTCTTCTAGAGTGCAGTGAGAAATATTGTTGTTCAAATTATCTTGCCATGATGTCACGACAAAATGTGTATTCCTTCACGAAGGACATGACGAGGGATAAGAGCACAAATCTTTAGCTGATTTACCCTTCAAAATATATTTTATTACATCAG